TGTAGGGAACCGGCTTTGGCAGGGGGGTTGGACTGGATGATCTCCTGAGCTCCCTTCCAACCCCACCAGTCTGGGATTCTGTGAAACCCTCCAGTATTATTTGAGTGATAAGAACCAACTGGTGCAACACAAGGTCTTGTTTTAATATTCCCTGGGACCCAAGAATATCTTAAAATGGGACGTTTGAGGGTCAGTGGGAGTGACTGGTTAATGTTATCTGTGGTCTACAGCTCATTGAGATGGTGATCATGTTATCATCACACAGTGGGGGTCAGGTGGGTCACACCAATACTCACCCTGTCAACGCATCCCTCCCGAAGGCCTCTGAGAAACAACAGAGTGGTTAAGTCACCTCTGGCTTCTTGGGTTTCTTAACAGATGTCAAGTGGAGGGGGAAATGGAAGGGACGAGACCCTGCCTTCTCCAAAAGCCAGAAGCAGGTTGGGTCCCAGGGCTGGGGGCTACAAGAGGGAAGGCTGCACCCCCTTATTTAATGGCAATAAATAAAAATGACCAAATTTCTGTGTGTGTGAGTAGGGATGTCCCAATTCATGTCCTGAAACAGAGTGCTGTGACTCTGGGGAGGGGCGGGATGACAAGTGAGGAGGAATCATAGCACCCCAGAGGTGAATTCCGGGGAGATCTTATAGCAGCCTTCCAATATCTGAAGGGGCTACAAGAAAGCTGGGGAAGGACTTTTCATAAGGGCAGTTAATGACAAAACAAGGGGAAATGGGTTTAAGCTGAAAGAGGGGAGGTTTAGATGAGATATTAGGAAGAAGTTCTTCACTGTGAGGGTGGTCAGACACTGGAACAGGTTGCCCAAGGAAGTTGTAGATGCCCCCTCCCTGGAAGTGTTTGTGGCCAGGCTGGATGAGGCTTTGAGCAACCTGGCCTAGTGGAAGGTGTCCCTGCTGCTGGCAGGGGGGTTGGGACTGGAGGAGCTTTAAGGTCCCTTCCAATCCAAACCAGTCTGGGATTCTATGTGTCTATGATTCTATGAACGATGTTGGACCATGAGAGCAAAGCTGGTAAGAGGCACCTGGGCTGTTGGTATTCCAAGCAGGAAGGAAATTTGGGGTTTGCTGACTATTTGCATACTGAGGATACAGGACCCTGCGGCTCCCTGGATACCTGATGGCCCAGGACACGTTGGACCCCTGTCAG